TGACGACCTAGAGGGGTGGGATAGGGAGGGAGGGTGGGAGGGAGACGCAAGATGGAGGAGATATGGGGATATATGTATATGTATAGCTGATTCACTTTGTTATACAGCAGCAACTAACACACCATTGTACAGCAATTATACTCCAATAAAGATGTTAAAACAACAACAACAAAAAAAACCCGTTCAATCATCCTTCGTGTTGTGAAGTTTTCCCTGACCCTCTCTGGCTCCCACCCAGACACAGGTGATCACCTCCTCCTCAGGGCCACCAGAGAACCTGAACACACCCATCACTGCACAACACTGCCAGTGTTTCTTTATGTAGATGTCTCTTCTGGTTGACTGTGAGTGACCTGAGGGTCATGGCCCCCAGCAGACAGTAGGTGGTCTGTATTTTGTTAAAGGTGATGAATTAGGCCAACAGATAGTGTGATGGGCTGGGGTGGAGGTCTAATCCCCCAGCCAGTGTCTCTGGAACATGACCACAGTGGCAGAATGGGAAGAACTGAATTGATCACAAGAAGAAATTCAGTCAATCTATACATGTTCAAGTTTTATTACAAAGTATGATGGGCAGAAAATACGGTACTTCTTATACAGGAGGCTGAACAGAATGAAAGGGTGAAAATTAGGTTTAATATACTCAGAAAGCAAGAAATAAAATCATAGATAACACTCCACTTTCAGGTGACTTTGAAGTAGCCTTCAATGGAGATTTACCATCATGGTTTCACAGCACAGTGTTAAAAATTTTTTTACAAGCCCTGTGTATAATCAATCCTGTGAAAATAATGTTTTTTTAAAAAAATGGTTACAGTACAGTTCTGCAAGGGGCAGCTTCCTCTCCACCTGACCATGGGATGCCACAAAACCTATAATGTAGAGGAAAAGTTTAAATATATAACAGGAAATTAAGTTCAGACACACTAGGCTAAAGGGGACAGAAATGGACTGGCTAGCGCTTAACACTTCAGAGAACAAGGAATCTCCATTTTCTCTACATAGAGATTTGTACAATCATGCTACAAATTCACGCTCGGGGGAGGAAGGATGGAAAGTCACTGAAAGAGGGGTCATCAAATACACAGGAACCATATCAAATGATCCATATTCGACTCAAGCAAGTCAAAGCTTTAGCTCCACAAGTTTCATAACACACTGTATTACCACAATCAACCCAAGGTGAGAACATTCTTTTAAATAGCAGGTATCACAAGTTCTTATTCATAGGGTTTTCCCAAAGGCCAGTACTTGTAAGTTTTCCAGCTCTTACACAGACTGCCAGCATCCTCCTTCCTCTTGAGTTTATACTTTGATTGGCTTATCTGTTTCTGGCTTGATACACCAGTCCAAGCCTCTTGGGAAGGTACCTGCATGTTTCTACACTTAAAAAATCACATCCAGGACGTAGCCTGAGAGGAGCTGGCCCATCCCATGTGGCCACACATTTGACTTTGACCACGAGCAGCAATGACAATGGTGGGAAAAGAGGACGAGGCTCTGCAACACCGAGTAGCTGGCCCAGCCAGTGCAGGGATGGCAATTCTTGGAGAGCCTGGCCCAGGGTTCACAGTGACTGCTCAGCTCAGCTTTCCTCCCAGGGAAAACCCAACTTCAGTGCCAAGCATGACCCTCCCTCCTCATCCTGGAGCGCAGACAGGAAAGGGAAGAGGCTGCTTTGCGGCTTCTACTTTAATGGTCTCCCTTCTCCCAGGTCAGGCAGTCAAAGGAGCTGGGGACAGTGGAGGGAAGTTACTAGGCTGGCCTCCCGTGGTTGGTAGACCCTGCAGCTCCTACATACCTTACAGCCTGGGAATTCAAGGCCCAGGTTGCAGCAGGGAGAAAGTTCTACAGTGGAAAGGCAGTGGGAAGGTAAAGAGGAAGAGAGAAGACAAAAGGGAGGGGGGAAAGTCAGCATGACTGTTTATAACCTCTGCTTCTTCTCTCTACAAACCTACAACCAAGAAGAGCCATGGTCTGGAATGATCGAGGGACTCCCACTCCTGCAAGTTTCTACCACCAAACGACACTAGGGCTGAACTGCAGCAGGAAGGGGTGCCCCTGTCACCCTGTCCCCAGTTACCCCGCATCACAGGCACCTGATGAACAGTCCAGGAAGGCTGACACAGGCCGAGAGCACAGTCTCACTCCACAGCCACGTGACAGTCGGAATGCTTCCCCAGCTCAGACCTTTACTGCTCTCTAATATTTTCTCCTTTGCTACCACTGCTTTTCTCCCACATCCTAAATCTCCTCCTAAAATTTCAGACACACCTGCCATCAAAAACTCATCGGAGTCTTAATGTTTTCTGTTTCTTAACCAGTTCTCTGAGAGCCGATCCTGGTTCTGATAAGAAATTCTCACCTGGTTATCAAGGATCTTCCCTCTTCAAGTCCTCATCTTTCAGCCTGGCTCCTCCCTGGAAAGAGAGGCGTCTGACTCTCCTGGGTGTAAACAACTCAAACTCTTGAAGGACTTGGATCCATTCACCAGCTCTCTGATGGGGAACCTGAGGCCTCATTTATTCAGCACCCCCCTCCCCTCAGAGCAGACAAGGAAAACAAAGGCGGCTGCGGCTCAGGGGGCCAGAAGCATGTCAAAGGGCCACCGCCCAGAGAGCCAGAGCCCAGAGGTGCTGCCGCAGCCTTTCCAGTGCAGTCCCGGCAGTGGCTCTTCTCATGTTCAAGGAGAGCAGAGACAGAGCCTCCCAACCTATTCTTGCTGGTTGGCAATCTGAGAACCTAAACACATTAAACAAACACTTGCTTTTGAAACTACAACGGATCTCTACTTCCTGTGGCGTGGCTGACTAAGAGGCTTTCTAAATCCTGAGACTACAGATATCCCCTCCTCAGCCATGAGGCCATCTGGCCCATGGCATAAAGGGAGGGTGAGGGAGCCGGGACTTCAAAATCCCAGCATGCCAGCTACTGTGTGTCTGTGTCTGCTTGCAGGGACTGGGGAGTCTCACCTGGGCCCAAGTGGGATGTTGAAAGGAAGAGGACCAGACCACACTGCAGGGCCTAAGGAGGGTGACAGGACTGGGAGTCTGCAGGGCAAGGAAAAAAAACATTCAAAGTTGTTGTTTTCCACAGTAAATAGCAACTTTATCCAAATATATCCCTATTCTTATTAACAAATTTTTTTTCTCCAGATTATTTTCAAGTTAGAGTGGAAAACTCTGCTCAGCACTCAAGACCACGAAAGTGCAGATCAGGAAAGGAATCTTAACCCAGAGCTCAGTGTAGTTAAGGCCTGCCCCAGCAGGACCAGCCCCCTCTACCATTGGACCTTCATTTCAGACCCTTTTCCACAGGAAGGAACTGACAGCCTCCTAGGGCAAGTGACATTCAATTTATACTTGCTACCCTTGAGGGAAGGACCCTGGAACCATCAAACACAATAACAAGCAGAGGAGGATTCTGACCAAGAACTGTTCGCTTTACATCTCCAAATGATGCAGTGCAAATCTGGTGGTAAGTGCAGGAGAGATGATCTCAAGCAGACGGCCAGCCAAAGAGCCTCAAAATCAGAACAATGTATAAAGGGAGAAGGGGAAATACCCTGACTAAAAAAAAGAGCCTTTTTCTTTGGGACTAGCCCCTGTGTACTAAAGCAAAGAGCTATGACTTTGGGGATACAAATACACCTGCTTCTGAAAAGTAAGACTCAACCAAGAGAGTTTAAGTGCCCAGAAGGACAAAGCTAACTGCTTTGTTTCTCAAAAGCAGTTGAGAACTGGACAAAACCATTGGCCTCAAGGTCTGCTTCTCTCCTACTCTTGGACGCTCAACTCAGAGGGTCTCAGAAACCTTCCGGCACTTGGCAGAGCGTGGCAAACTCCCCCCGCCACCCCACGCCCTGACTCTGAGCATGTCCCCAATTCTGCCTGCCCAAGGGTTCACCTACCACTGGACTCACAAACAGGCCCCCTCCACGGAACTCGCTCATATAACGGACACAAACACCCACAGCCTACAATCCAGTACTGCTCAGAACCTAACCCGGGGTCAGGGAGGCTGACAGGGGTTCGTGGAGTTCTGAACTGGCTGACCCTAGGTCTCTGAAGCTTTTCTTGCTCTCTATATAACTGATGGCCTGGGATCACCACAGCCTATTGGTCCACCCTTTGCAAGAGCTGACAGTCTCCCACACTCTAAAGGAGATCCTGCTCAGGCTAGATGCTCAGACTGTGCACCTGTCAAGCAGGGCTCTCTCACCTCAGAGCACTCTATCCAAAGAGCGGCCAATATACTGCCAGTCACAGTAAACTAAACAAACAGAGGTACTGAAGTTCAGCTTATACTTCATTCTTGCCTATCATTCAAGACATGAAAGAGATTGGCCGGGGGCTTATATCTGGAGGGAAAAACAGACTCTCAAACTAGGTACTGGAAACATGCTCTAAGCTCAGGCGCTCCAATCAGCCTGGCTAGCTCAGAGCTAACACGTGCCCAGGAGGTCCTGGGGGGCTGGACAGGGGTAGTTCCGGGAGTAACAGAAGGAGTCACATGTCTGTTTCGGAGCCCAGAATGCCCTTGAGAAGAGCCAGGCTGAGCAAAGGTGTGAGAGCTGGCTGACTTCAGAGCACCGAGTCGGTTTGGGACTCCAGGTCAGGTATGTTCCGCTCAGGCAGTGATTCAAGAAGACAAACTGCTCATGGGGTCAAGGGCCTGGGGCCAGATCCGGACAGGGAGGGAAGAGAGGAAGGTGCTAACAGGGAGGGCTATGAAACAAAGGAAGAGACCAGGGAGTAAAATTCTTTTCGTAAAAAAATTAGCCTGATAGATAAAAAATATACAAAGTTGAAGTTTGTTAAAGACATTGATAACAGGAGGAAAGACAACTTTGAACTGGCATTTGTTCCCACCTAAGTGCTCACGTGGACACGGACACAGATTGCTGCCTCGGGCAGCAGCAGACAGAGACGTCTGGGACAGATGAATACAAACAGAGCCGGTGCCCACAATGCTCATTAACACAATGGCTGACAAACAAATATGCAGAAATTTTTAATTGAGGAACCAAAGGACATGAGGAAAAGAGAGAAAATCTTAAAACTCAGCCTTGGGCTGAGGAGGCGCCACATGGCACTGAGTCCGGCCCAGAGAACAGTGGGGTGACTGGCCGGGAACTCCTAGAGCAGCTTCTGGGAACAGTGGGTGCAAAGCAATGAAAGACGTACTGGCCACCGGAAACATGTTTCTTCTTACTTTGGGGGTGGGACAGAGGTGGGAAACACACAAGCCCCTGCCTCGTGGGCACGGCGCCACCGACACTACACTCTGAGTATCTCCAGGCAGTTGTTGTAGCAGATGGCAATCCAGTCGGGCTGAGTCGACGCCCACTGCACGTTGTTGATCTCTCCCTCGGCTGTGTAGGCCAGGATAGGGTCCTCGATGGCCCGGGGCATTTGTTGGATGTCCCAGATGAGGGCCTGATGGTCATCCGCTACGGACACAGAGAGCAAGCAAGCAAGGTCACAACTCAGGCAGTGAGGACCACGACCCCTGCACCTGAGCGGGGACCGCAGTTTACGGAGCATTCATTCACCAAAACCCCAGTGAGGTAGGTTTTACTGCAAGCCCCCATTTTATAAATGAGGAAATGTTAAGGCACATGCCCCAAACCACAGAGCTATGCAGCAGTGAGTGGCAGAGCCCGGACGCACAGCAAGGCTGCTGCCCCTGACCCATTCACAGCAGAGCTGGGATGGCGGAAAGGACTTGGATGGGCACCTCATCTCATCTGGGGCAGGCATCGGGCAGGCATCAGGAAAGGAAGAAGGGATGGGATAAAAATGATCCCCAAACATGTCATTTTCAGCCACTTAAAGTACTTGAGTGATTAAAGATCCCTCTCTGACGATTCAATTATTTAATGGGATCCTTTTCCCTCCATCTTATGGGCATTTATACATCAATGAGGTGTTATACAGATAATGAGATAAAGTGCTGTGGGGACACGTGCCCAAGAAAAGGGCCCTGGGAAATACCAGAAAGAAGGAAAGCACCTTAAAAAGACACATAAGCACATGAAAAGTGACTGGAAAGAAACATATCAAAATGAGACCAGTGGTACCATTAGGACCGCAAGGTTATGAGTTATGTTTACTTTTCTCTAGTTCCTAAGTGATGTGTAATGTGGTAGTCATGTTACTTTTACGATCAAAATAATAAGTTCTTAATTTAAGAGAGGAAAAAAAAGGGCAATGACCTTCCACACCACAGTGTCCCCTAGTCCCATCACCCATCCCGACGTGAAAGCCTGTCTCTCTCCTGAATAAACCAAACCCTCAGAGGCCGCATAACCTGGGCATGGGTGAGAGATGCCCTTCCCAGGACTATCTGCATCAAGTGATCTGGGAAGTTGTTTTAAACACTCGGCACCTCTAAAGCACTAAGTGCCTTTTCCTCAACGCTCAACTGAGCACGCTCTTCAGCACCAGCTCCTGCCACTGGAAGGAGACAGGGTGGGTGCAGCACCCAGGGCAGCAGCAGGTCTGCAGAGGCAGCCGCTGGGAGCCGAAGGCGGGCTTCTGCTGGGTGGGCCGACACTGTTCTCCTTTCTTTCTTCCTTCTCCTCCTGCCCTTCCCTGGCCGCACTCCCGGGAAAAAGCGGGCGAGTGAAGAAGTCAGGCCACAACATGAGGCACGCAGGACGGCGCTGGGCCTCAAGGAGACAGACAGGCGTGAGCAGAGGGCCCCAAACAGGAAGAGCTTCGTGCCTTTCGAATTCATGCTAAAATGGCAGAAAACCATCAAACTACATTGCTCCTCTGGCTCTATAATGAACAAGGAAATGAGGATGCTACTGATTTGTGAGGAGGGGAAAAGTATGTCAGGAGGAAACCCAAGGCTCTGAAAAAGATAAGGAGCACAACATTATGGGGCTAGAGTGGAATCCTGTCTGTAAAATAAAGGGACAGGTATTCATATGGGAGGGATGTGTACACAGGGATCCACCTAAAAGGGTCTGGAAGGAGACATACCGACCGTTGTGAGAGGTGCCACCTATACAAAGTGGGGCTGAAGTGGAAATGGGAAAGGAAGGAGAGAAGATGATGTTCACCTTCCTTTTTTTTCACATCTCTGTATTGTTGAAGTTTTAATAGCAGGTATTGTTTCTAGAATACAAGCACACTGACGGCCAGCGTATTTTTAAGGGGTACTCTTTTGGGTCTGGCAAATGGAGAAACGGGAACTACACGTCACACACCACTGACCCGGGCAGGCTGTGCAGGCCCTTCCATGCACCCAGAACTCAGTGCAGGGGGCATGTGCTTTTGGCATCTCCCAGGCGATAGGACCAAAGAGTCAGTTACATCCAAGAGAGACTACGCCCTCCTTCATACTCCTGGATGAGTCCTCGGTGCCGACCTAGATTTCAGAGGCGCACAGTAGCTGGCAAAAGCCTATTAACGGGTACACGATGTAAGTAGTATACAGATGCCCTGACATCACTGAGGGTACAAAGTCATCTGGAAATCCGGACTGCTTCAATCTCACAAGCATAGGGAGGCTCTCAATGGAGTTACTCTGTGTAAACCTCTCAAAGTATCCTTGGAATACAGTAAGGATTACAATTCTAAGGAGACAAGAGGAAGATCTTACCACTCCCTCCCCATTGCCCCCTGCCAGTAATTACCTGCAGTACAGATGTGGCAGGATGAATGTGGGGCCCAAGCAATGCCATTGACACATGCTCGGTGGTTGTTTAACCTGGCGACAGGCGTGCAGGGAACTCGAACGTCCAGAATCACTACCTGCAGAAATAACAAGGAAGAGGCCCAGAAACTTCAGGGTGTGACAGAAAAAAACAAGACACTACACAAGAGAGAGAAAAAAAAATTTGTTTAACTTGTTCATTTGTAGATTTAAAGACTCTTAGAGACAGAGCGTCTCGGTCCCCAAAGTAGCTACAGGATTGAGGAAAAAGAAAAAAAAGGCACAGCTAGTTTCTAGTCTGTGTCATAAGTAGCTCAGGGCCTTTAGGCTGCAGGGGAGAAGGCAGAGTAAGTAACATGAATTTGAATAATCCACCAAGCCCTATTAGGTGCATGTGCTAAGGATTCTGTGTGTGCTCAGCTGGGCAGCATGGAAGCCCTCTCCCCCAACCCCCGCAGCAAAAGTTGAAAGGTAAGCAGCCCAAGGTACTGGTTTCATCAAGATAAAATTCATCACTGCATCATCTCCACCCACAGTTTACTGCTTTTATCAAATAACAGGCTACAGAGTTGCCACTTCCACATCTGTTCACTAAGGCTGGCAGAATCTGTCCAGACCCAGAGGGGAAAACTGCCTGTTTCTTTACTCGGCACCATAAGCACGTGTGATTTGGTTTACTCTTTAGATACTGCTTTTCTTGGCTCCTACTCCAACTCTCCAAGTAGTAAAAGTTCTTAACACACAGTCCTTGTTCTAGATCAGGTTTTCTCAGTTTCAGCACTCCTGACATTTCGGGTCAGATAATTCTGTAATGTGAGGAGTGGTCCTGTGCACCACAGGACGTGCAGTAGCATCCCTGGCCTCCACCCACTAGACACCAGTAGCACCGCCCCTCCCCCTCCCACCCCCGAAGGTCTCCAGATATTTCCAAAAATCCTCTGAGGAGACAATGGCGACCAGTTGAGAACCACTCTTCTAGATACAGTAAGTAAGCAGAGCTGGAGCTGAGTGGCAGGGCCTATGTTAGCCTCAAGCGGGGCTCTCACCTCCATTCCATCCATGGCCATGGTGGCTAGGTAGTTGGGGTCCTGCTTGTTCCAGCAGAGACGAAGCAGTGGGTGATGCTGTGGGTCTTCGTAAATGATGGTGCTGTGTTCTAGATGACGGAGGTCAAACATCCGCACCGAGCCATCAGCACCCACAGAGGCAAACATGTCCCTGCCACCCCCGGCCCGGCTAAATGCAATATCATAGACCTGTTGGTGAATAAGAAGCATCAGTCGGATTCAGCTCTGTTACCACCCTTTCCTGTAACAGGGAAATCTGCTATCCCTAGTTCATCTAAACCCTTGCTCATGACCCAAAAGGAGGTAAACAAAGCCAAACAGCGCCTGTGAGGACTGGGACCTGAGAGTGCTAACATCAGTGACTTTCCAAAGACTGAAGGTCATTCTGCTCTGGAAACTGGCTGGCTTCTTCTCACTTCCTGCTTTCCAAGGATTCTTCCTCCACCTCCCGTGATAAAACAAAGACCACATACCCTGCTGACCGGCAGAGCACAAGTAGCTCTGAGCAAGTATTCTGTAGTCTTGGACAGGCTCAGTGAAGCCAGAGCCAGTGGCTGTCTCCTGCCACCCTGTTACAAGATGGAGACATTTATTTCCTGGGCCTTCGTGGCTTTCATTTGTGTGTGATCAGAGGCAAATCCATGAGCACATTAAGGCCAAGATCATCGATTTGCTGGGTGGAAGCAGCCACGGTTCTGCTGAGAAACCTGGATCTGAGACTCATTTGCGAGAAAGAGGTAACAGCAGTTTTGAATCTCGGGAGGCTCAGGTGTTCCTATACTTACGAAGAGGCTTAATACCGCTCTCTTGTCCTAGGACATGCTATCTCTTCTCCTAGTTGGTTTGTGTTCATAAGTGAATCAATTTAGGTTTTTTGAATCATTGTTTCCTGCACTTATTACTTGCTGCAAACATTGCACTCTGCTAATGTCTATGAGAAAACAGAGGCAGAGAGCAACAGAGAACTTCAGAGAAAGGCACAAAGAGAGCCAGACAAAGCCAGAGCCAGACAAGCGGAGAGAGAATATCTGAAAAACGAAAACAAAATGCCAAACAAAACCCATCTTCTGGGGCCAAGGACAATAACGGCTAACTTCCAGGGGGACATGAGTGGAATCCCTCCCTCAGTAACGTGACTCCAGCCTTCTGGAGGTTCCACCTACTAAGGGACACTGGCAAACAAGCATCTGTTTCTATTCAACTTCATAACTTCCTTTTCCTCTGGCTGACTGTGAAGAAATTACACTTCTCTTTCTGTAGTAGGAATTAGGAGTGGTTCAATGGGGAACTGGGCTGGTCATCACAAAGAGGTCTGACAGATCAAGGCTCTGTCCAACACCAACCAGCTACCTTAGGGCTGGAGTGTGTTTATCCATATGTGCACCCAGGGTTGGCTCCCAGTAACTCGCAGGGACAGGGACACCACGGCAGCACCACTAAGCAGTAAGGTTCTCACAGGCAACATGGCCGAGTGTGTAAAGCTCAGCTCTGACTGCTTCTTCTTGTGTGCTCCACCAGTGTATTTCATCATAAGCCAAAGGAGGGAAATAACTCCCAGATATATGCTACCCTCCTCTGCACCAATCTGCCAGTAGCAACGAGAACCTCCTGGTAAGTCTTTACTTCAACAGAGAGAGGTGGGCTGAGAAAAATCTAAGGTGCCAGGAGGCATCATGTTCCTCTCAGAACAACCACCCTGAGATTCATTTCTTCGAGGCCGGGGTGCTGGTCCAGGGCCCATTTGCTGTTGAGATCGCTGCTCCCATTGTCTACACTGCACTCCCTCACTGCAGCTCCGGTGTGGCTTCTCAGCTTTACCATCATCTGTGTAAGCAATCTCCTCATTAAATCCCCTCAGTTTAAATATTTAAAGTAGCTCTAGGTTTCTGGGTTGGACCCTGACAGAGAACAGCAGGCTAAGCTGTCACAGAACCAAAATGCAGCAACCTGTTCCACTTGATGCCAAGAGGGCTCCCAGAACCTCCTTATACCAATCTTCTCGGCAGGACAAACTCTTCCTTCGCCCCTTGGCTTACGGCAGGCAAGTCCAGCAGATTTGTAACAGATCTTACCACTGGGAGCACAGAAAGCCAAAGAACAACCTCTCACTAAGAATGATAATCTGGTCACCAACTTTCCATTCTGTGGACAACCTCAAGTTTCTCACCTAATGTCAAGGCATCCTTTTTATCGGTACAGATATTAATCATCTTCACTGTGCAGGGTACGATAGAAAAGAAAACACCACCCACAGGAAACGTCCTGTAATTTTTCTGGTAGAGGACCAGCATGCAGCGGCTCTGGCAGTTAAAGATTTATGACCATTTTACAAAATGACTCAGAAGAATGCTTTGTTAACACAATTACAGATAGCTTCCTTTGGCTCTTCCAATAAACACATGAGAAACATCACCATCAAAATAAACCATATTCAATTCCAAATAGTATTAAAAGTATAAGCATTAAGTGAACATACTAGAATTTCATAAAACAAGTTTAGAGAAAAATTAATGATTAAGTTTTGTCTGCCAGGAAATTTTCCCTCTTCTTGCCTCCCTGCTCCCAAAAAAGTAAATATATTTCAAGATAGGTGTTACTCTAAGATTATTTTTTAACCACATCAAGTCCAAGTTTGTCTATAAGAGATTTCATTGTTAAAACCCAGCAATCTCTGGCACAGAAAGAAAAACTGTAACAGACTATGGAATGTTTACACCAGCCAAAAAAAAAAAATACACTCATTTATAACAGTGCTGTTTTCCACTGTTCTGACACATTACTATTTTCAATTTAGACAAGACGACGTCAGCATTATGATTTTCCATGTCATTTGCAAAACAGGGAGAGAACAGCCTGACTTCACACTGAAGGCATAGAAAGCAGCTGTGCACCAGCATCAGTACCTCTTTGTCATGGGCAATCAGCTGGGTCTTCACATGGCCGGACACAAGATTCACTCGCCCCAACACCTGCCCGGTCTCCAGTCCCCATATGGTACATGTCGTGTCAATGCTGGAGGTACCTGGAAACAAACAGTGCAAGTCAGCAGCTGACGGGGGTGAAGTTCCCACGCCAGCTTCTCTCCTTGTCCCTATTCATCTATTCAGCCCAGGAGACAACGCACTGCAAACACTTCTTGAGTACAGGGAGGGAGAGCCCAAAAGAGTCACGTGGGCTTCCCTGGTGGCGCAGTGGTTGAGAGTCCGCCTGCCGATGCAGGGGAAGTGAGTTCGTGCCCCGGTTCGGGGAGATCCCACATGCCGCGGAGCGGCTGGGCCCGTGAGCCATGGCCGCGGAGCCTGTGCTCCGCAACGGGAGAGGCCACAGTAGTGAGAGGCCCGCGTACCGGAAAAAAAAA